CACTTCAAATGGGGAGCTCTATTGCTATGAAAGAAGGGAATTTTAATCAAGCCTTCTCCAGATTAGATATGCATCTGATGAAAATACTCAAGTATTTTAGTAGTTATGAACAAGCACTGACTTTCAAGATGTCAAAAAAGAATGAGGGATTTTTCCAAAAGTATAATTAATCTGCTCAGAAAGTGTAAAAATTCCTTTCTGTGTCTCTAGCAGAATCCACTATGCTAGTGATCTCTCTCAAGAATGTTTTGAGTCTCCTCTCCAAGGAGGAAAAGGAAACTGATCTTCTTTATTTTATTTTAACATGATAGCATCTCCAAAATTCACAAGTTTGGCCAAGTCTGAATGCATACTAAATATTTACTTAGTCAAAGTTTATATAATCAGATGTCCACATTTAAAATCAATACACAAGGAAGCTCTGTGCAGTGCTACATGACTGGATTGCTTTAATTATAATCTTGACATCATTCTCCTAATAGAAGACAGAGTATTGCTGACTATAGTATAGCTTTTAATAGACAACACGACTAGACCCTCATTATCTCATAAAATAAAATGTCTGCATTTAGTGCTTAAATGCATTTCTAAAGCCTTTTATTGTTTGTGACTAGCCAAAGTAATACAAAGTATTATCTTAACTGGGTATTTTACATCATAAAAAACAAGCCACGTACTGGAATACTGTTCTCTGGGAAATATTCTTACTATTCACTGAATAATCCAGACTAGTACTATGCTTTTTCAGTAGCCAACAGCATCCATCAAATACAAAACCCTGTAGAATAGGTCACGATCATACTCATATAATCCTAATTTTAAGGATCGGTATATTTACCATCATAAAAATGTTCTCGCCACAGTTTTAAATCTCCTTTTTAAATAAAACCTCATTATAGTTTTATACTTTAAATAAATGTTATGCTTTACTAAAAATTAAGCATGTGTCCATAATTTCAGTAATCTTCTAAGGTATTGCAAATTGGCAGCTAAGTTTTGTAAATACTTTGTACTCGCTATCCACTTGAAGATGTTACCTGTAATGAAATGAACTGTTAGTTTCATTTTACAAACCTTGCTTCCAAATTAGATTACACGATGATGACTAACAACAAGCAAAGTTAGGAACATTTTGTTTACACATGAATGAAAATTACATGTGTACTGTCTTAAAAATACAAAGATCAACGATGCTAAATGTAGGTAACTAGTATTACATACACAAAACATACAAAAAAACTTTTGCTTTCATGTATATTTCTGTGGAGCTCTTATGAGCTCAGTAGACAATGTCCACTAAATAAAAAAATGGAATAGAGTAAGCAAAAGTAGAATTTCTCTTTTTTCAATTATATATAATTGACGGTTCATATTCCAGTTTAAAAAATTAAAACTGTACACTAACATAATAGATGTTGACTTTTAAAAGTCAACCAACATGGAGAACAGTGACATCCAGCATCTCTTACTGCTTTTTCTGACCGTTCTTGATTTTAGTTCAGTATTTCTACAGTATTCAGATACTGATATAAAACCCTATAAATTAAAAAAAATATATAATACAAAAGCAACGCACAATATTCTGAGTTGAAAGTAATGCTTGAGTCACACAGTAAACACATATCAAAAGGTTTGCTTCTAAAAGGTCACATTTTTTCAAGATCTTGCTTCCCAGATACAGAACCTAAACACTGTATGTGTACCTACAACAGTTCTACCGCATTTCACTTGTTTGGTACAATGTACTGCTGTGGTTCCCAGGTCACTTCACAGTAAACAAATATTAGATCACTCAAATATTTAGCTATTGTTAGCCAACATTCCCTCCCATTAAGTATGGGCTGTTCAAGGAAATAAACCATCTGTAAATAAAATGGCATAGTAAGCATTCAATTAGCATGATGGAATACAATTAACACTGTTAAATTACAATACTTGAGAGAAGTTTCACATGTGCTGATAACATTTGTCACGCATCACACCTGAAACCATGACTGTAAAAATACATTGGTATCAGTAGGTTATTTGATTCAGTGGCATTTTCCTTGAGCGATGTTTCAATAAATGAGAAATATTTTAGGAAATGTAAAGGGATCTGCTACTTCTGAACAGGTCAAAATACATGGTGTTTTCATAACCAGGCAGGGAGAGCTTGTGCTTACACACATGTTGAATGTACTTTCTTAGCTGAGAGGTTTGACTCCATTCAGATATGTTTCTGCCCTATTAGAGTGCCCCCCTCAACAGTGCTCTTGCCATATTTTCAGTCTCTGACCAGGTCTTCATTCCACTGACTCCTCCTTTCAGACCCTCTTCTTTTAGAGCATCACTCAGCTTCCCTGGCCACCCTTCTCAACTGCTCTCTGCATTACTTATTCCCTTATCCTGTCACAGCCATAAGTTTTCATCAAAGGAAAAAATAACGCCATGAAATACAAGTTCTAAACATTTAACATTCTGCATCTCTGGATCTTAAATCATCGGTTGTAAGAGAGCAGAAATCATCAAAGTCAATCTAAAGGCTGTATCATCAAATCAGATCCTGCATTTCCCCAAGGAAAAACTTTGGCACAGTCACAGAAATTAAAGAGACACATTTCTTTAACAGTCAACTTTCATGTCAGTCGAGTTTCAGAAACATTTCAGAGAAGCATTTCCATGTTAAACGTGCCCCTTAGTAATCTTACAGTAATTTTATTCAAATACATTAGTCTCAGACCTTACTTACAACACCATCATTTAATAAGGCAGTAATGATGTCACAGAGGTGCATGACATTGAAATAAACAGGCAGTGAGAGAAGGTGTTACAGAAATGGAACACGAGCAAGAGAAAAAAGGCATACTTCAAGTACATATACCTAGAAATTGAGTGCAAAGCATCTCTAAAGTGTCACCTGTAACATAAAATAATTTGAAACAATACAAATTCTGCTAGTCAAGAATGTATGTCCGGTCTGCTCCTGCTTAAACTCACAGCAGCGAGAACAGGATCAGGCCCCCAATCAGCGCGTACTGAAGGTGTTCTTGAAAAACCCCACCCCACGCATTCAGTACTAAGCAGTTAGAACTGGCGGCACAAAAAACAAAGTTAATAAATATTTGCATGCTGAAGTCAGGCACCGCACTCAAAGCTCTCTGAAACAACCTCTGTAAAGAAAAGTTTCCTGCCATAGAGAAAGCAGGAGCACACTGAAATGCAAATGTTTCCGAAGAGGTATTTCACGAACCGCTAAACTAATAAGTGTCACTTCCAGACACCCCGTTTTACACCCTACCCCACTGCACTATGTGTTCCTACTAAGCCCCGAGAGTTTTTGTGTTTATTAGATCATTATCATTTCTAAAGGCAGCAGCTATGAGGTCACAAACCGGGATTATAGCCCCAAGTATGAAGGACCCAGCAGGGATCTCCCATGAATACAACCCTCTCTGGGGTTAGTGATTTAAGCGCGACGGGGCAGGGGCTGCGGCCACACCAGACCTCTTGATTTCATGACGTAAAATTATCCCGGAACGATACCGAGCAACAGTTTGCCCGCGAGCCGCCCGGCCTCCCCTGGCGGGCAGCTGCCGGCCGGGAGCCGCCGCCGCGCCGCAGCCTGCGCTCGCCCTCTCGGGAGCGAGGAATCCTGAGGAGAACTGGAAGCTTCAGCGGAAGAAAAAACATGGACAAAACTTTTTTTTTCCTTAAAAAACAAAAAACAGAAAAACAAACAAACAAACAAAAAACGTATACGGGAACTATCAGCTCTCCCTGCTAGAGAAAAAGTTTGAAGACCGGCGCGCGGAGTCGCCCCGCTGCTCGGCGCTACCAGCCGCCTCGGGGCGGGAGGGATCCCGGGGAGTTCCCGGCGCCGGCCCGGCCCGCCGCCCCCAGCCCCGCTCCCCAGGCGGCGCCCAGGCCCGGCCCGGGGCTCCTCCGCGCGGGGCCCCCCCGCATCCCTCCCCCCTCCCCACACACACACAGCGGGAGCCCACGGGAGAGGGGACGGGACCCGGCAGCCCCCACCCGCGGGCACAGTTCCCCCGCGGGCCGCCGGCCCCCAGCGGCCGAAGGAAGAGCGAAGTTTCGCGGCTCACCTCGCGTTGGTGCAGTCGTTGTACAAAGTTTCGAAGTCCTTCCTGGTGATGAGCTTGCAGCGGTTGACGCCGGGCTGGATGGCCCCCAGCCCCCGCAGGATGCGGACCTGCTCCACCGTGCACACCACGGGCGATATATCCAGCCGCTTCAGCTTGGTGTAGACCGTGTGCAGCCCTCCCACCAGGTGCTTGAGGAAGAGATCAAAGACCTGCGGCAGGCAGATCAGCTCCTGCCCCTCCACGAGGAACGAGGCTACCTTCACCCCGTGCAGGTCGACCATCTTACACTCGTTGCCGCCGCCGCCCCCGCCGCCGCCGCCCGCGCCAGCCCCGCCGCTGCCGGCGGAGAGGAAACTGTTGACGAGGCTGTTGGTGAGGCGCGGGGACTCCGCGGGGCTAGAGTACAGCGGGTCCGCCCGGAACAAGCCCGCCGAGCCCCCCGCGCCGCCGCTGGAAGTTGCGGCGATGACGGGCGGCGCGGAGACAGCCATGGCCAGCCCGGCTCCGCCGCCGCTCGCCTCAGCCCCGCGCGCGCACTCTCCCCGCGCTCTTTGCGGTACTACTAAAAACAGCGCCGCGCGCCCGCCCTCCCACACGCAGCGGCCGCCGCCAGCCGCGCGCCCAGACCCCTCCCCAGCGTTGCCGCGGGGAGCGGGGGGTGGGGGGGGGAAAGAGTGACAGCGCCCTCCAGCCAATGCGTCCCGCCCGCCGCCAGCGCGGCCTCGGCGAGTGGCTGCCGGGCGGCGGGGCGGGGCGGGGCAGCGCCGGCCGCAGCACCTGGGCCGCGGGGCGTGAGGCGGCCGGGCCGGGCCGTACCGGGGTTGCCGGGGGGGCGGAGGGCTGTGAGGGGGAAGTGGGCGCCGGTCTCGCCCGTGGGTGGGTGAGGAGACCCCCCGCCTCGTTCGCGCCTCTCGCGGGCGCCCGAAAACTCCGTCTCTGCGCCGCGGGTTGGGAAAGTTTCGGTGGGCTCTACCCGCCCTGTGAGGGGATCCCGCGAGCGCTGCCCCGCTGCGCTGAGGGAGGGGAAGGCAAGGCCGAGGCCGGCGCCCTGTCCCGGGTAGCTTCAGCGGTCGATGCGCTCTGGTACGTTCCTGAGTGTTAAAACACCTGTGCCCTGTCACAGCTGAAAAATCGGGAGAGACGGGGCGTGGGGAGAGAGGGTAGCAGTGCGCGCCTCCGTTAGGTGAATAATACATCCGACTTGCCACTTGCTGAGAAACCCAACAACGCGCGGTTAACTCTTTTCTGACTGGGCGGTGAAAGCAGGGGCAAGTGAGTCAGGTCTAAAGCAAACTCGGCCCCTCCAGAGCAGGGGGCGTGCGCGGCTCAAGCGGGGCGAAGGGAGGTTGCGGGAGCGGGTGGTCGGTCCCAGAAGGCAGCGGCCGTTCTCGGAAGGTCTTCCGTGTAATTGCTTGAAATTTCCAGATTCGAGTGCGGCATCGGTTGTGTTTTAGATATAGTGGCACCGGTCCTCTGCTCGCGCCTGACTGTCGGGCAGCCTCCAGAAGCACCATATGGTACCTCATTCAGTTTCCATACAAGTAAAACCTAGCAGTCCTGGGAACCAGACATCCTATGTCTTCTTCACCTGAACCAGGTCAGTTGACACAAGAACTGCTAAGTTTTGGTGTCCCTTCTGCCTGAACAAGTGGACTCAAAAGGTGGTCAGACAAATTTCATATAAAGGAATTGAGTCTGATTGATACACACCTAGCAGTAGTCAGGACAGACTGGCTAGGTTTGTTATTTGCTTCTTACCTTCTCCCAGTGTACTTACATTATGCCTCCTTTCCCAGCATCTTCCCTTTATTCCTTTGTATCAACGTCTTTCTTTCCTGTTTATTTCCGCTTTTTTTTTTTTTTTTTTCAGTCTTTTTTCTCTCTTTACTAGTCCTTTAACTTCTCCCCACCCCCCCATTTTTTTTTTAGCTTCTTCCTAAAGCATTCGGTAAAAAAAGCAAGCAGGAAAGTATAAACAAAACTTTTGAAGTGAATACCAAACAAGCAATACTAACAGAGCATTTCAGTGATTTCCATGATCACACTGCCTGTGCATGCCATCTCCTTCCTTTTGTTGAGCTTGTTTATGTAGGTACCCTTTCTACAAAGTTTAATATTTTTGCATTATAAGTAATCCCATTTTAGATGAGGGGAGATGACTGTGTGCCAACTAAATTGCTATATTTGTTAAATTAAATGAACTAAATTACACTCTGGAGGAACCTCACTTTCTCTCCATTGATTATATGTGTATTCTAAGATGACTAGCCACTTGTTTTAGGCCCCCTAGCCAAGATGCCTAAAACTAAGGCAGAATTTTTATACAAGCTAGGCTTAAATTAATACCTTTCAATAAGAATGCTCATATTTCCTAACTAATTCATGCATCTTTCTAGGATCAGAATCTTAGATTGGAAGAGCTGGGGGGCAGGGGCTATTTACTTCAGCAAAGTGTTTAGTACAATCAAGAACTGAAAACATCTGAGATCTTTATATACTGGAAATGATAGAAATAACCAACTTCAAATAGAAACTTTGGGGGCTTAATTTTCTGGACATAATTACTATTAGGAGATTCAATAAATCAGATTTAAACATTTCTCATTGGCTTTGTCCTTTAAAGACATTTTTTGCTTTGAGATTAATGTGATAATCAAATTCCACTGTGAGAATTCTTTTTCCTTTTTGACTTTAATGTCTTCCATAAGCTAAACATATTTCTAAATAAAACTGAGTTTTTGCAAGGCCAGAGGAAGCCTTGCGCATCAACACCCAGCAAGTTGGAGTGGCATGAAGCAATATAAAATCATAAAGGCTGTAGTAAAAACAGTACCCTTGAGAGGTGACTATCCATGGAAAGAAGAACTGCTTTTAAACTAAGAAAATGCTCAAGGTTTGAGAATTAATACCCGGCACCTGTCCAGTTCAACTAAGCATATACTAACTAATTGTATCGATTAATATTATTATTTTTCTGTAATTTTATCTAAGACAAAGCAAAGTAACTAAAGCCTAACAATCATACAGTAATATCTTGTCAGTTATAAAGTATCCAGATGGTTTATTTGAATGGAGTCCAGCAATATGTAATTTGAATGTGTACAAACTAGTAAGCTTTCCTATAGCTGAAATAAGTATTTTAGATTATTTATTTAAAATTAAAGTTTCAATATTTTTGTTCCTTTTAGACTGGGATGCAGAATACCCTGTTAACACTTTCAGCTACAGAAATCCTGGTGTATTATATATTAGTCCTGTATAAAAATTGGCTGTGTTTGTGTGGCAAAATGTCAAGCAAAGGTTCTGTTATATTTGTTTGGTTTTGTTTTTATCATCATTACATATGCCCCATTGGAGTGAAATGTGAAAGAGCTCTTTTCTGACACAGGAGAAGAGGGGAAAGCCCCAGTCAGTCCTGATAGGGCCAGTCCACAGCGTTTTAAAAATTACTTCTTGCCAGCTGGCATAAATGTGGCTATTGGCTCACAGGGATCCTCTAGAGAAAATGATGGGTGACACAACTGACTAGGAGGAGACAATGACAAAAAAATAATCATAGCTTTTTAAGTGAAGCAATAGGGAATTAATTAAAAATAATAGTAATTTTGGTTTTAGATGACTGGAAAGCTCAATAATGATGTTTGTGTTTTATTTCTGTCTACTGTAGCCAAACATAGGGCAGGACAATAAAAACAGGAATTCCATAGATACTGCAATGTAAAGATTCCCAGTGATTTTTTATTATTAAGAAATTTTTATAGAGACCTGATACAGGTATGTCCAATGTGAGTAGATTATAGGAGAAAATGCTAGGTTTTAGTGAAGAACTTGGATCTTCACTAAAATAACCAGGAGAGATGCATGGGAACATAGACTTATGAAGGTCAGAGGTAACAGTGGGCTGAAAATGAAGGATGAAAAAATAACTGAAAGATGCATTTACAATGCACCGTAGTCATAACAAAATGAAGCACCATTTTTTCTGAGTTCCAGCCTGACTGGAGTCCTTGTGACAGTGATATTCTCCTAGTCCTTAACAAAATAATTACTCAGGGCCCAGTCTAAAGCTCTTAACTTACCCTGGTGATCTTGGAGTTTACATCGGGAGCATGCAAAACACTGACATTGCTAATTGTGAGTAAAGATTTAAAAAGGATGAAAAAGCCTTTTTTTTTTTTTTTTTTTGCTAGTTTGGTGTTTAATGCCTTGGTTTACTTGGGAAAGAGTAACCATGATTATATCAACAAATGTAGGCCACTGATGTGAGAAAAAGATTCTGAAATTAGTATGTCATTCTTATTGCCCACATTTTTCTAGATGCACTAGTACTTGACACTTGTATTCAATTTATTTCTGACATTTCAGCAGAGGCTTTTTTGGGATTGTGGCTTAAAACTTCCCACCTGAACATCAAGGATTTAAAATAAAACTGATGAATCTAAATGTCTAAGTATCAATAGAAAAATGATCCCTTCTCTTATGTAATTAAATGTATTGTATTAATGTGTGCATAATGCAGAATCAATAAATAATGAATTACCACTGATTGTAATTGAATGTTTTCATAATTCTATTGTCAGCCATGATAAATAATCAGTACATTTATACTGCATTAAATTAATTAGTGTGTCATTTCTATTACATACATCAGCAGTGAAGTAATGCAGTGACATCTGTTTCTAATGTTTTAAAGATGTGGTATTCCTTATTAAGTAAAAGGAAGAGTTATTAGAGGTATTTCCTGTGATTGGCAGTTAGACTGGTACAGTCAAAGAGATCAAATAAAGAAACTTGCATTCTCGGCAAATGCTGCATTTCAACCCCTAATGCTAGTGCGTAACAATAATTGGAGTGAATTTTGCTTCTTCTGGCTTTCAGAAAATCTTACCCACCTTTCTAGAGAAAGTAAGAGTGATCATCTCTCCCTCATACAGTCCGGGAAGATTTTAAAATGCAAGATAATTAATGCTTTACAGAAGAACTGAGCATCCACATCCATTCCTGTATCCATTTTTCTGCTTTAGTCCTCTGCATATACAAAGGAATTCCCCTGCTAGGGGGTCATTATAAAGTCACAGATCAAGCCTTTTTCAGCTGTGATGTTCTTACGCAGATGTATCCGGACTATTGGGTCTGTAATCTTTGCTTGGAAATCATACTAATTTGACATATCTCAGCACTTTGGTGGTACTCATACTGATGTACATTACTTGCAAAGGAAATGGGAAATTGAGTAGATGTTGCAAACATGGGAATTGAAAAATGAAAGAGTAGAATTGAAAGAATAGAATAAATGGAAGGGAATATATAGCAAATAAACATGAATCAAATTGTGCCAGAAAGAGGGTTATTATTTAAATGACTCTAGGTATTATGAATTGGGTGATCACCTGGGAACAGGGTGACATGAAGTAAAATACACTGAGCAACAATTATGGACTACAATAGAGGTCTCGGATTCTTGATTAATGCTGTCTTTTCCAAGACACACATGGACATCCTTAACTTTTCTGTACCATCTTTAAAAAGAACAATTGGAAAGTCTAATGTTAGGACTTATCTTACTGGAGTCCTTAAAATCCATAAAACAGCTTTTAATTTTGATGTTAAAATTTTCATACTATCAAAGTACCTCATAATATTTAAGAAAAATTGAAACAATTCAGAATGATTTTATTCTTTTCAGTGAAAGTCTGATAAATTGCTTTCAACTGATCACTGACTACATTTGCTCAAATTTGAGAGTGGTCTCTGGAGAGCCATGTGCATCCTGCAGTTTGTCCTCATGGCTTGCCAGGTACCCGGAGAACTCCAGACTTGCTTTGGACTGCCTGTCTGGGCATAACTGACAGCTGGCTAGTTCACTGGCAATGGCTATACACTTAATTCTCTGCATGCTCTAACATCATGTCCCAGCTCTCTGTGAGTCCGCATATGTAGGCTTCATCCCTGCACAACAGTTGAGTGTGATTTTGAGCCTGCTCTTGGGACAGTCCTCAACAGATAGAGTCTTTGAGACAAGCTCTTCGGTTCACAGAATCTCCACTGAACTCAACAGTTCAATTTTTACTTGAGGCGTGAAGGATTTGACCATTTACTATAGGAACGTGAGAAAATTAAGGCATAAAAATACCCTCTCAAACAAGGTCCCATCTACTTCTCCTATTCATTAAAATTTCACTTGACTGTTATAACTGAAGAGATGTGCCCTTCGATGCTTAGACACTGTCACTTTTTGTATAAACAATGTGTAAATACTGTTGTCCTTACAGCAAGGAGTATGTTTGTTGCATAAAAATGTGAGTAGTACCTTTAAGATCATTGCAATGAAATATATGAACACAAGATGCAGTTGTTGCTAATGATTGACTACTTTAATCTGGATTTTGGTTTTTACTGAGGATAGAAGGCAGTAAAATTGCAAAGCCAGGACCTTAGTATAATAAGGCTGTATTACATGGGATACAGTCATCATTAAGGTTCAATATTGTTTGCAACTTCGTCAGGAAAAAAAATAATACTGTTAGATGTGTATTGAAGTTAAAACACACTTTATAGAAAACTACTATGAACACAATACTATGTACTCAAATATATTCAGTAAATCATTATACCTGAATGCTTGTTAATATCCCCAGAGGAACAAGATTAACCTCATCTCTCACTCTATATTTGCAGGTCAGCTAAAGAAAGCAAAAGTTTTCCTGTGCTGTCTTTTTGAGCATCTCAGCCCTAATCTGAAGGCACCACCATCTAGTGGGATAAGAAGGTATTTAATTTTTCTTTACATTTTTTGGTATTTTTAAACATGGACATTACATTCTCATTCAAGTAACAACAAAAAAGTGATCTGTTTCTGTTTATTTAAACATATAAGACTCACATGGACCTTTCATTAATTCTCATATCTTCTGTTTAACTGCAAAGCATTTTCCAATAAAAATCTTAAGAGTCATTTCCATGAAAATAGGTTTTCATAAACAGAATTTTATCAATGAGAAAACAATTTATAGCTATCCAGACTCAGTCAGAAGTGTAATTGATTTATTGAACAAGTATTTTTAGTATTTTATTGAATCTACTTTGTGGAAATCCAATTGGCAGAATTATTAATATTGTGAAAGTAATTTTCTTGAGCTCATCTTTAAAACCAGTATGTATTTTAGAGAGTAAAGATACATAGTTTCAGATTTCCATACAGCCATTAAATGTACAGCATTTGGTTGTAAGTATACTCTGACCATTAAGTCCCATCAAATTTCAAAACTGAATGCAAAGCATTCATTTTACCTTGGCTCTAAGAGTGACCATTTATTGTACTATGCCCGTACTGATATATGGTCTACTACCTGTTCTTAATTTGATTTTCTTTTTATGCACTTAACAACTGGAAAGGATAATGGCAGATAGTTTATATGGAGGTGGGAGAAACATAAGGGTGAGCAGTGTGTATTCATTTGTTTGTTTTTTTTCTCAGAGAATGCATGCATCTGCAGCTGTTATCCTAAGATGCCTCCTTGTGTTCAGGTCTCATTGATCTTGTTACAGCATTTCACACATACGGGGATAATTGGTTTACATCATTCAGGAGTGCGTATCTTTTATAAGCATGAGAGTAAATATTAAGAAATTACCATATTTTAAAATCCCACAGATATAATGATGATATTTTTGAATCTAAACCAGTAATGAAATGATAAAGATTTAAATACTTCATGACACAGATAATATTTTACTATTCAGATTTTGGGCCTGCCTCTGTTTCCGTGGAACTGAATGGTATTTTTGCCTCAGATACTACTAGACATTTCAATGTTTAACTATCTTCAAATTATAGAAAACTTATTGACAGAAATTAGCATCAGTGGGTATTCTGCACTGTACATCAATTTTATGATACTGTCTTCTAAAATACTACATTTATTCTGAAAGCCATACAGTAATATCAGTCTATATTGTCATTTCTTATTGAAATCAATCTGGAGTTTTGAGTAAAAATCAATGGAACTGGTCCAAAGTGGTTGAGGTAGTACATGCCATTTTGATACTTTGTTCCCTAAACCACAAATCTGAAAAGGTTAGAGGCGTTTAATTTAGAATGCAAATTAACAAATTTGTAAATACTTTCATTTGGAATACTGTTTGCAGTTGATGAAGTCCAGGATGTTCTACCTCCCACTCCCTTAGAAGAGCAAAAATCCTGAATAACTCTTTAGAAAACAGTCTAGGATATATAGGTAAGTTAAGGCCGGTAATCTGTACAACTACTGGCTCCTGATTTCACACAGACTTTGCCAAAGCCTTTCCCTCAGAATTCTCATCTATTTTTCAACTCCCAAAGGAGTGAACCTGGTCCTGAAGCCTTACTGTCACTGTCTGCTAGCTCTTGGTCATACTTTTTCACAAACCTGAAGGAGGTTGAAAGAAGATACAATGAACCTAATGCTTTTTTCAATAAAATGAACTATTTCATGAAAATATCTACAGTATATTCTGCAGTTCTTTACGGGAAGTGGAGGGAAAGGTCTCATCGGGGATTCATTCTACTATTTCACCATTGTTAAGGAAGCATGACCTAGAGAGACTGAATCCATTGTACAATTGAGTCTCTCTGAATATCAGTCAAAGGAATACAGAGTGGGGTCAGAATCAGATATTTAAGAGTAGGTTTTGGTTTTATCCTGACCAGTCTTCTGTCTCTCAAAATCATTCTCAGTACATTCTGTGGGGCTTTGGATAAAGTGAGAAACAGTCACATGAAAAGTAACTGTCTTACTTCATCTTCAGGAGACATTACTGACTTCTTCTACCTTTTTTTAACTCTTTCTTACATCCATGTCAAGGCTGATGTGACATACACTGATAACCTACAAAGAAATATGTGATCTTACATAAAACTGACTTTATATACTTTAACTTCATTGACTTTCTGATGGACTTGCCAGTGACTTGTGGAGGCATAAGGATGATCGGGCCAAGAGTTAAAAGTACAAGTTGAAACACCTGTGATCATCATTATTTAATGCATAGCCCTCCTGTATTTTAAGTTTTTAAAAATTATCCTTACCCGTATTTATAATGCTGAAACCTTTCAGTACCCTATGAGACCACTACTGATATTTTTCATTAGTATTATGATGCCATGAATTTTAGAGAATTTTGCACTGAGGAAGACTTCAAAAAAAATAATTTCCTTCAGAACTTTTTCTAGAGGAATGTGTTACCATTTGATTAAATTTTACCCATCATTATTCTAAATACACTATGACAAGATCTTCTGTATTTTTTTCACAAAGTCTATGAATATAGAATAGAGCATCGTTTAATATAGACCTTGGAATTTACTTTTTTTTTTTCCTAAAATGTAAATGTAGGATATAGTTTTAAATACAAAAAAATATTTTTTGACTGTGAGTTCTCTTATATTTTAGATACTGTTTAATCTCCAAGTTAGGATATAAGCAAAAGAATGAAAGAAAACTGTTGAGAATCAAAAAAAAATGTTTTTCCTTAGAAGTGATAGAGCAAGAAAGACCTTCAGACACCAATATTCTTTGCTATTTTAATAATTAATATTGACTGAACATATTGTTGTCACTTCAGTGCATGAAGTTAGACAGGAATTTGGGGTTTGCTAGATATTTTCCATTAACAGAAAACTTACTTGAATTCAGTATCTTGTAGTGCAATCCTTTTACATACAAAGTATATGTTAAAAATTCAAATTCCTGGACATAGTGAGGAAACAGAAGGCTCTCAAAACTTCAAAGTCTGTCTTTTGGCCAGAGGTGCTGCAACTCATCAAACGTCAGTCTTTTTAATAGCAGGCAGTTCAAGGAAATCCTTATAATAGGTTATCTCTTACTCAGTGACATCTATTCTGTGATTATTTACAGCTCAAAGCATGTTTTTAAAAAGTTATTAGTGCTTTCTGTGTAGTGGCATGAACATACTTCTATTTATCCCAAGGAAATAAGAAAGAAGACACCGTAATTTAATTTAACAAAGACAAATAAGGCTTCCACTAGAATATATCTCCCCTATTCCTATTTAGGGAATTCCTTGTCACGCAGGAAACCATCTGAAAGCAGACTATCAGGAAACTCTGCCATCTGCAAGACTGCAGGGAGCAATTGTTTTCACAAGTCACAGTAACCCTCGTCAGAAACAAGATTTTAACACTTGGCTTGCTAGTCCTCATAGAAAAGGCTGCCCATACTAGCCATTATTTAATAGAAGACTGAAAAGCATTGTTTTGGATCTTGGTTTTCCTGAATTAAATCTTTCTTCCTCTTCTTGACATTAATATACTCGTCAGCATTATTTAATATTGCATCCAATTTCACTGTTTGCTTACAGCCTCTTAAAACCACCCAAGAAAGATATGTACACTACATAAACAGTTGTATAACGGAGGCTTAAATTCCTGATAATAAAGATGTATCCACCACTCTACACTTTGTGTCTCATACTGGACGCATAAGTAAAATGCACTTGCCAGCTTGCGCATGTACACAGGGCTAACAACTGCAGCGATGTAAGACAATGGAGAATCACATTGTTGATCTACTTTGTGCTAGGGAGATAAGTTGTAGTTCAGAAGAGGTTATTTCTCGTCATGTTAACAATAGTTTCCATTAAAAGTTTAAAGAGCAAAGAAACTAAATAAAATAAATTAACACTAAAGATGAAGTTATGGGAAAACCAAGTCCTCTTTTTCAAAGATGCCAGGTATCAAGAATTGTAGCTATCACACCAGCTATGACAATCCCTCTGTTGCCAATGCATAGTAATTTCAAAGTTATCAGGGAAATAGAAATTACAAAACTTTTCTTTATTTTGCTATGCACAGTATAAGGCGTTTGTGGTCTTGATTGCTCATCTCTGTTTTGATATGATATAAACTCAGTAAAAGAGAAACTGCTTTCACCAACAGATTTTGTGGATCTGAATTCTTTATAATTGTCAGTACTGATAAACTCACACAATATAGATTTACTAGTACAATGCACGCTTTTTACTGTAGCAACAATAACAGAATACATAATTAAATATAAGCTCTATCAATACACATAGTACTAAAATATAAAAAAATATTAGTAACTTCGAAAACCTTTAGGAGAGCAATGTCTACATGCAGTTCCAATTTATTATTGGACTTTTTGAATGATAGCTTCATATGAATGCACTACCACTTATGTTAGTTCACCTACTAATTTGTAGGTAACTATCACTGTTTAACATCCCGTATCTGGTCAAACAGTCCAGATTCAGGTAGTACCTTACTATTTAGAATCTATTTCTTGAGAACATTTTGAAGTATCATTGCACAGTATCTATGTATTACTTTTTCTGAACAATTTGATTATATTTTGTTTTTAAAAAATTTACATATGTAATACTAGATTTTATTTCTTTTGAAACATTTTTCCACCTTTTAAAAAGATTACAATAGCTTCCATGCAAAGTTCAGACTGAAAAAAAGCAAATGAAAAACCCCAAGCTCTAAAGCACAGAACAGACAAGAATTGCACTGACATGTGAAATGTGTTAAAATTCTTCTTTGAATCAGTCATTTAGACATACAAAGATAATGATGATGATTATGATGACAATAATTATAATCAACTAAAATTTAAATGAATCCATTTTCTTCTATGCAAATATCAATTATATTTCTTTTCTTTAAAATGAATGTGACCATTTAAAGTAGTTATTCTTGCAAATCTTCCTAATAATCTGCCTCAACATTTACAACAGCATAGTATTCTTCTGAAGCGGGGGAAAAAATTCTGTATCTTCTGGCTTAATTGAAGGGTCGATACAAGGGTCTATATAAACTACATAGATTAATAGTCATATAGCACCCTCAGAATGTGAGGAGCTATGTCCTATTCTTTCCTTTTATTTACTTAATCCAATACAGGAGGTAGTGCCACTCATAACATCCTAAGTAGATAGAAAAAAGGGGATTGAACACTGTGTTCCTATTAGTTCTGCTTTGGAGTTCCTCGGTCATTTTAGGCACACAGCAGAAGCAAAGTATAATGGCTCAAAGTCTTCCTCCCTCCCCTTAGAAGTCTGTGATGAAAAACTGTTCTGAGAGAGACGGTTATATTTCTTGGAATAGTCAGATGTTGGGAAGCAGTAAGCAATTCTGCTACTGGAGAAATTATCTTATCAGAGAATTGTACTGTATGTATTGCAAGGATCTATGATGGAAACATCTGCTAAGACTGGCAACCACCAAGCCTGCTAAAGAAGATGATGTTAAGAGTCAAGCAAACAAGAAGTCTTCTAATTAGTACTATGCATTATGATTTGTTCCATTCAAACCTAAAACTCTTACTCAGACTAAACCAGATTTGACTTCCTATTGTTTTCATTTCATACATTATCACTTTAAGAATGCACAAACTGGAGAACACCCTATTATCAAGGCAATGGTGATGAAATTCAGGCTTCAGATATGCTAGAATTGCATCGTCCCCTGAAAGCACATTAAAATGCAAACATCTTATAAAAACCATTAAATACTTTAATATAGCTGACCCACATAATGTTTACGGTAGGAACA